TTCGGCGGCCTTTACTTTTCCGACTCTTTAATTTATCTTTTTAATTAATAAAAACGATGATTTTTCAGAATAAATTTGCTTATACCAATGTGGACCTAAATTGCGTTATGACCTCTGGATCTATAGCGGANAATATGCAAGTGGTTTTATAACGGCCTTCGGCGGCCTTTACTTTTCCGACTCTTTAATTTATCTTTTTAATTAATAAAAACGATGATTTTTCAGAATAAATTTGCTTATACCAATGTGGACATAAATTGCGTTATGACCTCTGAATCTATAGCGGAATAAGTGTAATTTTTTGTTTATAAAGTCAATTTGCAATTATGCAAATATTTGTGAGTGCAATTAGCAATCTTTTAAGTTAAATTTCAGCTTTTAAAATAGAGTTCTCAAATAGGCGGCGTTGACTTACCTTTTTTTGTTTGTTTTCATATGTTAATGCTTTAATAAATGCAATTTCTATTTGAATGTATTGTCAGGAATGTATTCCAAGTACCATTAAGTATTTTAAAAACAAAAAAATTTTGACTTTCGTCCAGCTAGATCTGCTATCCGAACCACTGTGCAGCGGAGAGAGTTTTCATGGCTACCATTCAATAGATCAGATATTTAGCTTTAGAATAGTATCTTTTCCTGGCTTTTTGCAACAATTCATAAATCTGTCTTTTGACCGGTTTTTCTGCATAAATACTTCCATGTGCAGCGGTTGCCCCTCGGCAGACACGGGCAAACCTCCGAGTGCATTTCTGCTATGCAAAATCTTCTAATGAAATCCGATTGTCGTTCGGAGGCGGGGTAAAACTGTAGGTGCCTGCATTTGTGTACAGTAGAAATTGGTGGAGAAGCTCGGCCAAACACTTAGAAGAAGTATAAGCGGCAAAATATTATTATTAAAGGAAACCATTTTACAAGTGCCAGAAAACATTTAGTTCTATGCATAGGCTTGCTTTACATAATAAAGTTAAATATTTAAAGCCTCCTTACTCAACTCCCAACCTGCCAATCGGACAAACGAAACCCATCTGACAACAGATCCTGTCGCTTGCAACCAAAGTGCAGGCTGGCGTTGAGCAAACTTATCGATCGGTGCGCGACTTTTTGACGCATATCTGTGTTAAAGCTATATGTGTGTGGCATATCCGTTTCGCAGAGCCTTCGGGAAGGAGTGTATGCGTGTTTGGACTAGAGAATTATGGCATAAATATGTACGTTCATTGCCTTGTGTGTGTGTGAGCTTAGTTCTAGCGCTCGTTCGCATTTGGTTGATGTTATACTTGCTTGATTACTAGCTACATGACTGGCTGAGTTGCTGTTAGCTTATTATTATTTTTGCTTTTTATTCGTTCAGTTTCCATTCAGTGCATAGACTAGCCAGAAAGCCAGCACCATCTAAAAATCCAACATATAGAAAGTCTGTACTCGATGCTGTTGAGGAAAAAATACTCATAGCACAAAATATAAAAACCCAACTGGCAATATTATTTATTTAGCGCTATTTCACTCAATCACAGTGCTTGTACTCGCTCTAGCTTGCCACGGCATAGGCAGCAGTTGGGAGGCGAGCTGAGTAGAGTGAAGTCGAGTTGGATGGGTATATGGCAGATAGAGATATTCATGCCAACAGCCATGCACGCATACATACGGTGTACGTTTGTAAGCACATATGTTTGTAGACACGTACGTACATGCATATATATATTTGTAAATACGTGTCTGTATGCATTTGAATTTATATTTTTGTATGTATGTATATTTCCTTTGTATGGTAAAATATAGATGCGGATGTATGTACGTATGTACAGAGTTGATATTCGAAGTACGGGCGCGAACGAGGTGTATGGAGGAATGAAAAAGTGTACCCACACACGCGCGAACAAATACACAGAATTGGAGAATGACAGCAGTAGCAATAAGAAAAATATCATGCCTGGCTTTAGGATGGTCGATTCCAGATGCAATACACACTCGCACAGACGCACACACAGCCGAGACCCACACTCGTCTGCATATACAGACGATTTATAAACATACATACGCACACTTTGACAGTCAGTCGCTCTGTTTACTGCCTGTTTTTATTTTTTTTTTGTTGCTTTCGCCGCTGCCATTGCTGTCAATTTTCGCTCGTTCAATTGCTTACTGCTTCGCTACGTTATTCGTGCTTTCGTGTGCTCAATTTTCCTCTGTTGCTGCTGCGAGCGACCTTATAGCCCCACTAAACTGCTACCAGAGGTGTAGGTTAAAAATTCCTTCGAAGGAGTTTCGTTAAAATTTGCATGGAATCTTTCATTGATTTTACAAAAAAACATATTTAACCCAAATTACATAAATAAAACTAAGTCACCTTATAGGGCTAACAATTTCTTGGGCTTGGGTACTTGCGTTCCAGTAAAAAGATGAAATTAAAATGGGTATTTAGAAATTGAAGATTTCGAGGATATCACAAACTGTTTATAAGTACATATATGTATGTCCCGTTCTACGTTATCACGAAGTAAAATGAAATGTCGAAAATTCACATTAAAATAAATGCATGAAATGAAAGTGTTCTTTTTATCATTTCAGAATAACGGAGAACGAGAATCGACCCTCTGTTTAAAACAGCTCAGTACATAAACACGTTTAGGAAGTTTTCCGAACATATGGACCAATCTTCCAATGTAGGCTGGGCATATCGATATATCTATGATACGAAACATTGAAACATGAATATTTACCAATACATCAGACCGTGCCTAAAACGTTTCTAGCACGAAGATTTTTACCATTTGGAAAAGTCATTAAAGGTGCTGAGCACGCATGGAGGGGTCTCCATAGCCAATCGACACGGCCAGAAATCACATTCACCCTGTGTTTGGTGAATACATTTCACCGGAAGTAGTAAATGTCTGCAAAATGGGAAGCAGAGAATATTGCAGTTATATTCATTTTGACTAAACTGGGAATTAATAGCGCCGGTAAGGATGTCACCCAAAAGAAGAAAGCTAACTATGATCGCGCTACTAAATAAAAAGTGAAGCTTAGTGCTCAAAGCGCCTAATGACGAAATACTTTACGGAAGGAAGTTCAGATTGGCCAACGATTTCGATATTCGCTTCACATTAAACCAAAGTTCAACTATTATTGAGGATCGATGATCCTTTTCTATCACCTTGACTTTTTCTAACCACAAGATTTATCTTTTGTTAAGGAGGTGGCATATACCTGAAATTCGCTACCATGTGGGCACTTTATTTATCTCATGAGGCTAATGATATAAATAAGTGGCTTTTTGGCAAAAAAAAGCCACTAAGTTTAAGTAATAAATATTTAAATTCTACACCAACATAAGATCTCAGTTCGAGAGTCATATTCATTTTAACAAAATTTTTGCACCTTTCGAATTGAATCAAAACAGTTCAAATAACCTGAACCCCCTCTACGTACGAGTCTGGCATGCTTTGCACTTATACTGTACATATATTTAGATATTGTTGCTGGCGCTGCTATGCTGCTTGTGCTGGCGAACGAACTCGTAACAAGCAACCATAACAGCAAAAACACCAACAACGAGTACTATGCAATGCAGACAAGTTGCGATGACTGCGGCGCGGCACAGTAGGCCATTCAATGGATATTCTCTTTGAGTAAATTTTCCTAAGCATTGGTTTTTCAATTATATTTTTCTCAAATGCATACTTACGAGGTACTAGCTGAATCTTTCCGGAGTTACTTGTCATCGGTAAGTGAACAATTTGCCGATATTTTTCTGGAAGTAGCGTCACACGCGAAGCTCTCATAATCTAGGAAATAATATAAGAAAGCAATGTGAACGTATGTACGCAGTTTAGGTTGAAAACTGGCAATAAGAAATAATTTTTATCGAGCCAGTGCACCACTTTCCCTTATAATAAAATATTGGAAAGTGTATAGTATTGAAAGTATGCTCCTTTCAGTCTGTCCATTTAAGGTTCTTGAAGAGGTAATGAAGACTTGAAAACTGAGTCACTCTTTAAAAAATGTTCTCCGGCAGGCTAAATCCTTTTGTGGCTGGAAATAAAATGGAAATAGCAAGGAAGGTGATATGCAAATGTTAATAATGGGAAGGAGTAGTGGGTAAGAAGCACCCTTTTCAGCAATCAACTTTGGCACTAAACCAATAGGATTCACTAAATTCCACTTCAGAGTTATTTGAGATGGCAGCCAAATTTTGGCAGGGCCGTTATCTGAAGATTCATAATATAATACTTCTGCGGCTGAATTTTTTGAAAATCACACATATATAAGAAGTTGAAGGGCTATATTTGTCTTTATTCTACAGATATTCATAAACTTCTACTTCAATAGAAATACAATGCAACATATGCAAACAGTTGCAGGCGTTTTGAAAACAAAATATTTTTATAATTTTACTTCACCTACATATTCATTTTGATCCATAAAAACTCGAAATGCCTACTGTGCCGCTCCGACGTGTACGACTATGCCGACGACAGGGTAGGTATACACAAAACGTTGGGCTCGTTCACTGTCCGTCATTTGGACTGTTGAACGAAGCGTTAGCGCAGCGCTGACTTGCTTGATTGTTGGGTATAGTAGGCACATATACATTCGTCCATACATATACGAGAAGAGGTAGATAGCGAGCAACGCTTATACTGAAGATTACCACAACGAAATGAACGATGCGAAGAGACGCAGAGGAAGACGCGAGTCAGCTCTGCCGCTTACATTAATTTGCATTGGTGTGTACGTGTGTTCGTGCTATTGTCGAGTACGGTGTGTGGCTTTAGCAACAACACATAGTACATCCACTTTGTTGATGACGACGACAGCAGCGACGCTGCTGTGCTGCCGACGCAGCCAACACATTTTCAACGTTTTTCTGTGTGCCTTTTGTGAACGTATCTTTCGGTTTGCAAGATTATTTGTGATTTTAGCATGGTAGACTAAGGTACAACGTCGCTCGCACGCACGTTCGTTCGTTCGCTAGCTCGTTTCGTCGTAGTCTCGTCGTTGTTGAAGCAAGCAACCAAAAATTTTTTGTGTAAAGCATTACAGTTAGTAGCACGACACATTAGCCTAGCTAGCTGTCAGTAAAATATGACAATGCGCGTATATTCTGCATTCCAAAAAACGCGGGTACGTGATTGTTTCCACTATATTTTGCTACATCAAATAAAAAATTAAAATATTTTGCCGAAAACATATTTGTTCAAAGGAAGTAGGCAACTAAAGTGTAGCAAATGTGTAGAAATACAAAAATGCGCAAAGCAAAAATTCGAGCATTTGAAGGATTTTTTGGAAAACTGTGAATTGAAAATTACAGCAGCATTGAAGTTAAGTGTGTAGAAAAAGTTAACATTTTGGAGAAGAAATTCAATGAATTATTCAGTACCTTATCTGACTGTAGCAGCAGAGTTTTGAAAAAACTAAGTGAAGTATAAGTTTGAAAACATTGTTAAAGTGGAAATTTTTACCGCTCGAGTAACAAAACCAGTGCATGCAAACTAGCAAGCCAGTGAGAACAACGAACTTTGTATGGAATATTATTTGACTACCAGTATTTAAGTATTACCCTTATTAACAAAATAAACTAGTGCAATTTGCTGTTAGTTCAGAAGACTTACCACTCGTTCTTAATCGAAGGAAACAAAAAAAACGCGCTATTCGCCAATCAATCATAAATTAAGGAGCAAACCAAAGTCAGGTGTAAAAAAATAAGCAATAAATAAGCAGCAAATCAGTTGCATAGCCGAAAGAGCAACCGCAGCAGAAATTTCTATGTTATTGTAGCATCTCAATATTCACAACAATCGGGTTTCCGCACACAGGTGTAAACAAAGCGGCAACAAGAAGCACACCGTCAGACAGAGCAAGCAATTTGTGTAGCAAATAAGCTCGCAAAACCACGCACAAATGCAACAGCAGCAGCAACAGTAACAACAACAGCAGTAAGTGAAGCCGCCAATAAACGAGTGTAATAACAGTACGCGCCATAAGTAGCCATAAGCACACTTGTCAGCAGTGGAAGCAAACAGCATAGTGAAAGAGGTCTGCAACTAGAACAAGAAGAAGTAGAAGTAGCAGCAGATGTGTAATGCATTGACAACAAACAAAAAGTAAATGCAAGCGCCACTATAATAATGAGAAATTGTCAATAACAACAATAACAAGAACAATCATCAAAACATTAGTAGTGGACAATTAAGACAACATAACACAAAAGGAACAGAAAGTATTATTAAAAGAGTTATACAAAATCAAGAAAGATAAATAAAAACACTCTGTGGCAGCAAGAAGAAACCACAAATCACTAATTCTAATTAACAATTTATGACTTCTTGTGAACAAGAAAATAGTAAGCAACAGGAAGCAAAGTCAGAAGCCATAGCATCAGAAGCAACAGGAGTGCAGGCATCCAGTAACTAACTTAAGGAGCAGTGGCATAGAAATTTTCGTTATTTGCCAAACAATAATGTGCACTGAGGTAAGTCAACTTACTATAAATAATAAAATTTTGTAATAGACTTTATAACATTTGTATTGACAGCAACTTGGGATTAATGTTAGACTGAAGGCGTGTTTAGTGATTGCTGGCAATGGGGTAATGTGTCTGGCAGGAATAAATTATTGAGCAATAGGATGACAACAAAATTGTTTCGCACTTAGGAAAATTGGCTGACTATAAATTTTTAGCTTGGACTGCAGTTTATTAAAAAAAACGAGTTGAGAAGTTAGAGTGCAGGTAGAGTTAGACAATTCGTACTTAGAAAAACTGTATATATTTTTTGTGAAATTTTTTAATGAAGTTAAAACTTATAACTTCGAAACGAAACGAACACATATAAGCGGTCATCAACTTTAATTTTCAATATTCCTTTATTTTGTCATCAGTTCAGCAAGATATTTATATAAATTTTTAGAATAGCTCTAAAGGCATTCCCCATTTAATGAATTTTCTCGTAGTAACACATTTGTCAAATAAGGCATTTTACATCTCGTATCTAAGTTCGAAAGTCTCTTAAAAACTGCCAGATAAAAAATCTGTTTTACGATTAGCATTGGCATTTTGCTATAGGTGGTTCGGTATTAACAATTTTTTATTCGGAAAATTTCAGATTTTCTTGTGTAATTTGACTCTTAAAACAGCTTTTAGACAATCGGTATTGGTTCCAAAATACTATGTCAGTAAAAGTTAAACTCCAAGGTCTTAAAAACTCTTAACCTTACCTCAACGGATGTGTTCGACCAAGTTTCTTCAAGTAGCATAAAAATGCCTAGATCGTGTGCAGTCGGTGGCTTTTGATAAAAAACTTTTTTATTGATAAACTACATACAGTGATTTGAAACTGCCTTTCATAAAACGCCTGGTGAAATGAATACATTTTATTGTCTTGTATTTCTGAAATTTTAAAAAGGCTCAGTCTATTGAAGTACAGTAATCACGTAATACTTCCAGCGCAAAAACGCGTAGTCTTAACTTATTTTAACGATATTCTCGTTTATTTTGTGGTGTACGTCTTGATGTTAAGCACATATGGAAGGACTTATATTTTACGTCACCCCCTAGCGGCAAATGGATGTATAAGAAGCCCTTTCATGGAAGATATACCATCATGGGTTTTGCATTCTCAACACAGAGGTTTCGTTGTTAAAAACACTTTTCCTATGTTTAGATGTTAATCGAACCAGGGATCAGACTTAAAAAAGCCAAAGGTCTATTTCACCACTTCTGTTTATACATATATGGTTGCAATGTTTCGCAACTCTGCATATACAAACAGTTTAACTACCGCAGTACGTTTTGGAAGTCATGAGTTAACTTTCACCTGGGCAATGATACAAATTTACCTCTTTAACAAAACTTGTGCAGCTTTATACGTCTAATAGTTCTTTTCCTATTTCGAAAGTAATACTTGGACCCACATTCACAATAATAATTGATAATCAAAGATAACCCTTTGTTTGGAAGTTTATGAGTTCATACGACGAAAACACTAACTAAGCAAAAAGTGATGCCAAATGACTACACTAAATACAAAGTATCGATAACTATTGGTTTGTGGCTTGGGTGTTGATGCTTGACTAACTAAACAGGTGCTCACACGATCACTTAATAGATTCGGAAAATTTTTTAAGATTAAAAATAATCTAGAGCAATACGTTTTTTTTTTGTGTAAAATTGGAAAGAGATGAATAAGGACGTCCTCAGGGAAACGATTGGGAAAATATCGGCAATTAATCGTAACCAACCGATAAGATGCATTAAATGAAATATAGGTAAAAAATATCTCAACTATGAGCAAAAAATATAATATTGTAGGCACCTCATATAAATTTATTCAAATCTGAAAAACTTAATTTTTTCAAATTGCGGTATGAAGAAATTTCTTTTGAAGTCTCGCATGATTATATCCATATGTCACTAAAAGAATTTATTGAAATCATTGTGCCTTAATTTCTAACGGAAAAGTAAGATAAGCAGCAAACATCGAGTTCACAGTTCGTAGTTAAACTATTGTTAATTTAACCACTACTCAGAAGTTTAACTATACCTCCGTATTTACAGTTGAAAACACTGTTAACTAAAATCAGTATTTTTCCAAACAAAGTTAAATTTCGTTGTACAAAAAAATTTTAATTTAAGAAGGCTTTAACTATAGGGGAATTCATGTTTAAACACTTGTTGACTGAGCACTGTGAATATTAAAATCTATAGTTAAAACCCTGTAAGTGGTTAGCTACGTACTTTTAATACGGCCTTTAACCCTAGAAGCCCGATCTACTTGAGAGTTACGTAGAGCCCAAACATACGTCTCAGAGGCGCAGGTGACTTAAAAGACAACCTGTGTGCTAAAATATACTTAGTTCTGCCCACTTTTTTGTTAAGCATAAAGTTGTGATATAAACCAATAATAGAACATAGTTCATTAATAAAAACTACAACGAAATTTGTTTAAAACAACAAACTGTAAAGGCACTTTTGTGTTCAAATTTAAAAAAACCGATTCCGTGTACGCTTTTTTGACGTAGATTGGGCTTTTAGGGGTAATCAGAAAAAATATATGTATATGATGACCACTTTGCAACATGATAAATCGAAAGCCTACCAGGCATTTGGCAAAATATTTTTGGTAGAAGTCAAGCCAATGTTTGTTTTTAAGTTTTACGGATGCAAACAACCGTTAAGATAAATATATGAACATAGTACATATACTCTAATGAATGCTGCTCGGAAGATGCTAATAAATATCATACAAATCGCCTTGAACTTGGGCAGAGCGAAAATAACGCATTTCCGAAAAATGTCCGTTAAGGCCTTAAGGTGCACTAATCAAGAGTACACATTGTCAAAAAACTCTACTAATTTGATATCATTTATGAATGAAAATCTAAAAAATTTCTTCAAAGGCACTTCTATAAAACAAACCTGTCCATCCCACTCAAGCATAAACTCATCTGTTACACTTGGCATCCACTTTCCAACAAGGCAATTAAAAGCAATTAATCTTCACGCATTCACACATCCTTGAACGTCCTTCACGCTCCTAAGCATTTATGATTGACCGATTTCAATGCCAACACCATACTTCCATAAGTAAAACGCCAAGGTAGCAAACGCAAAGCACTTATACGAAAACCAAAACCCCAAGCCGCATTGAAGCATCCGCATACAAATTTACACACCACACACATACACATCCTTGCATATTCCAGCACATACGTAGCTTCCCAATTGGTACAGCGAAACAGCACGAGATCAAACCAACTAGCAACTAAAAATCCAACATGTGGTTACGCCAATTTGTAAACCTTATCACCAAAAGCAACGTAACGTTACATATGAACTTACAATATACATACGTATGTGTTTGTTGTCACGCTTGTTATTGCTATTAGCTTCAGCAACAATACATGGCATCGTAGGCAGTAACTCGAGAGAGGGCACTAGAGTGTGTAAAGTGGCGCTAAAATAGCAAGTGTGCCAAAAGTCCAGGCAGCAGGCAGGCATACAGACAAACAGGCAGAAGAGTCGAACAACGACCACAATTTGCGAGTTTCATGGCTTTGTAATGAAGTTTATTCGCTGTCTTTGGTGGGTAGAGAGTATGTGACGCCAGGATCCGTGCATTCTTGTGCCCATACATTTGCATGCAAATAGATACATATAGAATATGTGAACATACATACATATGTACGTACATATGTGAGAGCGCAAGTTAGGCAAGCTGTCGTGCATTGGCTTTAGCTTAGGTTGAACGTAGGTGAAATAGATCAAAACAGCCACATGCTGCCGTTAGGTAAATACGCGCTTTTCTCAACTTACTGGCCATCATTGCATCGTTAAATGAGTTGGAAATGTACTTTTCAGCGACCCGTGATAAGTTCACAATCGCAACACACCTGCTAAATCAGGTGCGCTACATCGCACGCTGTTTCGGTCATTAAAAATTGCAAGTGTAAGCGCTTGTTTGTATTTTTTTTTTGTATAAGTACTTATGGGAGTATATACATGACAAAATCCCGCATGACAGCTACGCTGTTACCACCATATGCCTTAAAAATGCATAGACAATCAAAGAGCTTAAAAAAACGTGTATGCTCAACGCAATAAATAAAAACCCAAACAATTTGTGTTTACACAAACACAGAAAAAACATAAACAACACACATACACTAGCAAACAGCGTACGTGTGCCTGCAACGCGGAAAAGTTTGCAAAACACGCGTAGTTGTGTGGAAAACTTCCGTCCTTTCTTAGCGGCGCCGACGGCAGCGCGAAAATAAAAATCAAAAGTCGCCTTACGTACGTACAATATTACGTTGCAGCATCAGCCAAAGTAAAAACAAGTTGTTTGCAACTTTTTATTTCTTTAAGCTACATTTTGGTTTGCCTTTTTCACTCAGTACTTGCTTCTCGCCTCACAACGTCTCAGAGTCGCAAAGTCACCCTTTCACGGATAGCCAAGGCGAAAACATTAAATAAAATAAAATACACACATATGTGTAAGCAAAAACATATGCAAATAAGCGTCTGCGTGCGACAAAAACAACAAAGCAACAAAAAAGAAACTAGCGCAAAAACAACATAGCAACAACAAGAGCATCCCTCTGGAAACAGCAGCGTTGCCGCAAGTCAAATAAGGCAAGTCAAGTTAGAGTAGATTCTCGCGCGCGCGAAGAGTCAAACGCCAAAGTCACTGAAATAGATATTCAATAATGCACTTGGCTGCCTCCTTTGTTGTTGCTCGTCTGTTTTTTCTTTTTGTTTTCGTTGGCATGTCTGCCTGCATTCATTCATGCAATCGCTCATGTGGCGCCGCCGCAGCACTCATCCATCATCAATGCTAAATATAAGCGTCAGCGTCAGTGCAAACAGATTTCGACTTCCACTCTGCTGCCAATTTATTGTCTCAAGAATGTGCATTTCTTTGTGCAAATCTATTTTGCTTTTGTTTTGGTTTACCATTTTTTGCATACATATAT